TACATTTTTAATATAAAGTATACATATGTTTAATAAAGCACACATACCTAGCCTGACAGAGGGTTTAAAAAAAAAAATAATCAAGCTTTGGATTTTTTATTTTATTATTTTACATTTTTGTAAAAAAAAAAAAAAAAAATCACTTTACTTTTTTATTGATAAATAAGTATTCTAATAAATTAAGTCCTGATTTTGAATTTTATACAAATTTATTAAATGGACTATGATATATTATAATTTAAACTACTGTATATACAAGTTTATATGAGATCATATGGGTTTGATCTAAAATTTTATTAATAAATTTGTAATGCCACATATTACCTTATTACTTTTTTCTAAATTAAACAAGTTCAAATTACTGTACATACAGTATTAAACATTTGTATAGAAAATTTATTATCGATATTTATTAAAATAGAAATTTTATAATAATTATTATGACAATATAATTATCGAATAAAACAAAAATTTTTATTTTTATTATCAGATTGTTACGACTTATGACTTGAATGTTATAGTCGACATAAAAGAGGCTTGCTTATAAAGCTTTTGAGCTATAGCATGTCGGTGATCTATTCTTAAATAGGATTGTAGATGATTATATATACTGTATATTTATTTCTCATTAATATAAAAACTTGTGAGTTTGATTATAAAATATATTAAAATATTGACTTTAATATTGACCTTATTAACGATGGTAAGTTAATTAAAAAAAAATTTTTTTTTTTTTTATATTTTATTAATAATATACTGAATAAATAATATACTGAATATAGGAGTCATTCGTCTTTTTATGGCAATAAAATTTGTTTTACAAAGTGAACTGGCACTTATATTAAATATGTACAGTGTAGATTTTAGAATGCTGTTATTCGTGTCTAGGAAGAATATAATGATACCGTTGTTCTCAATGACAAATTCTACAAAGTTGAATATCTTTGTTGAAATTATGAATTTAAAAATAGTTTCTGCGTATCAAAATTACTGCCAACAATAGCAGCGTATTAGCAAAAAATCATTATTTTGCTCTAATAGGATCGCAAAATTAGATCGAACCATATTTCTGCGTAAAATTAATTGAAAATATTCAGATAATATATACCAATGAGGGAAATATGCGTTTGTGTGCTGGTCAGAAGAAAAAAATTATTTATTACCATTGACATAATACAGTATTGATTGGCCCAACTATTTTGCGGTAAAATCATTTTGCAAATCTTTGTGGGTAATTATCGTATGTTCTCGGATCGACGTGGTGGCCTCGAAAAAAGGAATATTCTTGGTGCAAAGTCGATGTTTTAATCGGGTACAAAATAGCATGTGGTCTTCAAATCGCAATCAATTGCCTTTACCCCTTAAAGGCTAATTATGCGCGTACAGGCATTCTAGTAAACAATAAAAAGGTCTTCCGTATAAGTTGAACGTGATATTGTGCACACAAGGCCTCTCTCTGGTCTACAGAACCACTGATCTTCGATGCTGTGTCATCACAAACTTGAAACACTTTTTTTTTTTTGAACATCGTATTTCTCCTTGTGTGAGTACGCTAGACTAATATGTAAGTGCATCATCGAGATGCTTTTGAATTTAATCTGAGCCGGCGGGGTTATATGCACAAATGGCGTTATCGAATCTCCACGTTCAACAGTTTAACAGTTCAACACCGGGAACCATCTCCCGGTAGGAATCACCTTCTCCTCTGTTAACAGATTACCGAAACATTCTATTTATAACTATATGAGACTCATGCATGTCACACACCAACGACTCGACATCATTGGCACAATTTAATTGTGCATTTATGCCGTAAAACCTATGCAATTCATTTGTTTGCAATAATTTGGCTAAAACGGAAAATGCAAAAAGATAATAATAATAATAAATAATTTTGTTTGTCATTCTTGGCAATGAGTGAGTGGTCTTTATAAAAGATGTGAATCGAGATCGCTATCATTTTTCCCCTGGTCCTCTTCTACGTAAAATATTCTCCCAATTTCACACACCCTTCCCTACCATCCGTCCTCTCTTTCCTTCTTTTTCGATTTCTTTCTTTTTTTTTTTTTTTATAAAAACAAAAAAAAGAAAAAGAAAAAGAAAAATGAAATCTTTACCTTCTTTGGTACTCACCTTTCTCATCCTAGGCTGTAGCCTTTACAGCCTCTTCGTTTCCGCAAATCCTTTACACCACCATCCTAAATCTCATCATTCGAAACATCATAATCCACATAAACATAAACCACATAATCACCCAGCACCTAAACCTCGAACTCCAATATCCTCACCAATAATCAACAACATCTTCGATACCTTCACAGCATTGCCCGAAAATCCAAGAGGTGTGACTCGTCATTTTGAATTCAGATTGGTGAAGGCTAACTTGGCGGTAGATGGCGTCACTCGTGCCGTGTGGACAGTGAATGGACAGTGAGTATCGTCAACACTTTCCCGTTCACCTCGTTCTCGAATAAAAAATTAAAATTAAATTTGCGCTCATACTTTTAAAGGTATCCCGGCCCAGTGATCTCCGGGAATATTGGAGACACGTTTGCGATCCATGTGGTGAACGAATTAGGAGAGCCGTCCGGAAGTGCGTAATTGAGGAAAAATGAATGATCATCATCTTATTAATTCGGGTAATCGCTAATTTGATTCGTAAATTTAAGTGCATTGGCACGGTCTCGACCAAGATGGCACCAACTGGTACGACGGAGTTCCCGGGATTACCCAGTGTCCAATCAAAAACGGGAAAAGCCTTTCGTACGTGTTCAACCTTACACAATCCGGAACGTACTGGTACCACTCTCACTTCATGGCACAATATGTTGACGGATTGAGGGTAGAGTATTTCAACATATTGATATCCAGGTGCTCAGTGATCAGAAATAACATGACATTAAAATGACGCCACTTTCCTCCAAAGGGTCCCATCGTTATCTTCGATCCGAATGATCCCTACAAACATGATTATGATTCCGAATACGTGATGTCAGTTGCCGATTGGTATCACACGCCAACTGAGGATCCAGGAATGCTGCCGTTATTCCGTGATGGTACTGTGAACTGTGAAATGTTCTTATATTGTTAGGTTCCGTAAAACGGATCGACTGAGAGACCCATCTCTTAATTAATATTGTAGTAAACTATCAGGGAGGCGATCCCGTTCCAGATTCCGGTGAAATCAGCGGCGTAGGACAATATAGATGTACGATCCCGAAATGTAAACCCAAGAAGTTCGCCACCTATAAAGTCAAAAGGGGACACAGATATCGATTTAGGTTGATCAACTTCAGCGCCATGTCTCATTTCACCGTCTCCTTTGATCAACACCCACTCAAGGTTATTGAAGTCGACGGAACGATGATCGAGCCTTACACCGTCACCTCACTTCCAATCAACATTGCCCAACGATATTCGGTGATCGTTGAAATGAATCAACCGATTGGCAATTATTTCATTCGAGCAACTATTTCCGATTGTAGTGTGGGTGGAGGACCAGGGACGATCAATGGCAATAGCCCGTTACTTAATAATAAGCAGATCACCGGAATCCTTAGATACGAGGGTGCACCATCATCCATACCCAAGAGCAAAGCGTATCACACCAAGACACCGGATTGCTTGGATCCTGATTCTAGTAATCCTAGAAACTTGAGACCGATAAATTTGAAGAAAAAAGTGCCGACCAACAAGAATATCCATACCATAAAACTTACCGTTGCCATCGCTTTTAACCCACAGCTGGAAGCGACGATCAATGGAAATTCATTCGCCGTGAACTTTAAGAACCCATCTTATCAGAAAGTTTTATCTGGCAGTAAATTTGTTCCCACTGATAATGCATTCACTTATCATGGATTGAATAAACCGGTTCAAATTATTGTAAATAACACCGAACATCGTACTCACCCTTTCCATTTGGTAAGATTTCAATGGTGACCGAGTTATTCGGAATTTCTCGTTTCATAGAATGCTTAATTGGATATTTACTTGAATTGTTTATTCCTTGGAAATAGCACGGTCACTCGTTTTGGGTGGTTGCCCGAGGAGGAACGGGTAGTTCTACTAAACCCCTAAGTTCTCTAAAGTACAATTTTGAAAATCCACTCTACCGTGATACATTAACCCTTGAGGAGTTCAGGTAAGGTTTCACTCATTGCCGGCCATTCATCGCAAGATTGTAGCGTTTGCTAACAAACAAACATCCAATTTCATTAGTCTAACGGCGATCATGTACTACGCGGACAATCCGGGAGTCTGGTTGTTCCACTGTCACATCGAGTGGCACGTGGAAATGGGAATGGTCGCTCAGTTGGTGGAGGTTCCAGAAGTCTTCAAAACCTACAAAATTCCTCGTAGTGTGACCGATATGTGCAAATAATCATTATAGCCGGCGATGCATGCCTTACGTAGAACAATTTTATCCTTCGTGATTAACATAGATGTCAGTTTCAATTTGCTTTAGAAAAATCAACAACCACACACGGACACCATAAACTTCATGTCATTTGCAAATAAAACATCAAGGCATTCTGTATTTTTAAATCATTATGTGTATAATTTGTTTAGAGTAGCAATCACTGTATCTGTCAACAGAAATCAGAGTTTACAACAATACATTAAAAAAAAAACAATAGAAATTAAACGAGCGTATCGCGTATACTGTAGTGATAAATATCATAAAGCAGAGATGACTGGCTACTCTAACGATCTAAAAGATATATTGAAATGATGATCTACGATATTTTTCAAATGTGGAAAGGCTTTCGGAAAATTCTTTTTATAATAAGAGGTTGGTCACACGATATGCTAAACATTCCGGATTTGAGCAAAAATTTTTTTCCTCAACTTATTTATTATAAATGACGCACTATACGTATGCTGCATGGTTAACATACACCAAGGAGTGCATGACGACATGTAAGATCGCAACAAATCACAAGTTTCTTCGGAGTCTAGAGGGTTTTCCACAAAACCTTTGAACATTTGGATAATTATTTTTGAAAAAACGGCAAGAATTCTACAACCTATTTTTTGTTCCCTATTATTAGTATTATTATTATTATTATTTTCTTTTTTTTTTTTTTTGAATAATACACATGCAATGTACTGTAAATTCTAGGAGTACAAATATAAAATCAGAAAAATCCCTGTCCGCCTTCGAAATAATTGCCCATTTATGGAAATCGCGGAGATTCAGTGAATACGACGTACTGTAAATGTGTACGGTATATATACTGTATGTGTGTATGGCGAATAAATTTTTCAAAAAAATTTTTACTCGACCGAGATGAAAAAATTATATCGATGCCCGACCACCGTAAAAAGAATTCGAAAAGGACAATTGATTGTTACAGAATTATGCTTACTATTAGAAGCCATCAGATTCATCGCTTGGATTTCTTTGACACACGAAAGTGTCGCATCATTTTTTGAATACATCGATAAGTAAGTCAAGTCAGTCATATACAGTAAAATTCTTGTGTAAATTCACAAACGAGATTCTAATCTTTACAACCTACACAATAAAGTGTCACGTATTTGCTTGACATCGCCATGATCTTTGTTCCGGCGTGTTCGTTTATCGCATTATGTAAGACCGTATAAAAAGCTTTCGCATTTTTTCTCCTCTTTTATTTGCAACTAATGGAACGTGATATCTAGCTCTTTATCTTCGTAATTTCAATTCACTCTGGGGCACCCGGACTAGCATTTCGTTCGATTGGTATGATGCGCATATGATGAATGTCTATTTGTCGATCATAGTTTTCTTTGCAAGTTTCTCATCATTTATTTGTTTATTTATTTATTGATAGTCTTGGGTATGTCATCTGGATTTGCTTCCGTGAGTATGCTCAGGCATCATGTAACCACTCGAAAAATTTTTTACATCGCACTCTCGTCGGTTTTTAACTTTCCGCATCACTATAGAACACATCCTCTACATACCATTTTACAACGGCACTCCTTTCACTTATGAATTTCCGCCCAATCCTAATCAAACCTGGATCAAGATGAACTGCATCATATTCTATATCATTGTGGCCGGTTCGATCGTCAATACCATATTATTTCAAGTGACACTTTATACTTCGGTCAAGTCGAGGAAAGAAATCAATTGTTGGATAAGTGATGCGAAGGAGGAAAAAGAACCGGAGGATAAGGTTTAGAAGCATTACCAGGGACATCGGTTGATGTCCCAATCTCAACATGAATGCATAAATCCTAATTCCTTTATTTCTTTGTTGTATAATAATGCAGTAAATGTTTTTTTGTACCTAATACATAAATTTCAAGTGATTTTTAAACCACTATTTTCACGCAATAGTTAATCGAGACTAAAGGTGACGAGAATCAAGAAAAACGAATGACTAATGATTTGAATTAGTGTCAAGTTTGTAAAAATACAATCCGTAATAAACTTATTATTGAGTGATAAAATATAGGCCATTTTTTTCGGATGAATGTTTTTCGCCTGGTTGAATCACTGTTATAAAAATGGTTTAATCTTATGATTCCAAACGTTTATATAATTTATGATTTTATTTGTATTCTTTTGTGCGTTGTATATTTGTGTAAAAGTTTTTTGGCTTTTAGTAAAGTCGTGACCCTATCCT